CCTCCCCCTCCCCCTCATGCGTCGAAGAAGCGAGTTCCCTCCTTTGTGGAACCCAGCTCTTCTCGGGGTAAAGGTGATGAAAACAGGACCCCTGCTGGGTTTCGCTTTTCGTCAAGGTCCGTGGACATGTTTGCTTCGGTGGCAGGCAATCATGCCACGAGAAGGACGATCTCGCCTACTCGGCGAGATGGGCCAGATGAAACTCTTGGCTTTGGTAGAGTTAATCCGGGCAAGAAGGCAGAGGTCGCTTCGTCTGGCAAGGAAGGGCGAGTGAAGTATGTCGAAGACCTCACGAAGGACCTGATGAACAAGTCCAAGTACCAACTGGAGACCTTGTGCAAGAACGACAAGATCAAGTACTTCAACAAAAAGCAAGCCTCTGCTGATCTGGCCGAGATCCGCGCACGAGATGCCTACGGTGATGAATCTGAGGAAGATGGTCTCGACAACATCGTGGCAGAGACACAGGAGGAGAATCCCTCCTGATGATCTATCGTGTCGGCATATATTTGGGAGTTGTGGTACTCCACTATCCAGATTCGTACCCAGGGAAAATATAGGGGTAAGAAAAGTGAAGACTTGGAAGCATGATCTAGATTTCTGTTGGTCTTATTAGCCTGGCTCGGGCAGATTCCAGGGGGTGCTAAGTTTGTTGATTCGTGGCTTGATTTGATTCTTTCTGGTGAGGATATCTTCTCTCCCACCAGCTCATGTGTTTACGTGTTGATTTCTCCGCATTTCCATGCCGCGTACATTAGTTCGACCTTGAGACCCCTTTCGATTAAATGGCAGGAGCATATTAGAGCTCTCTCAAGAAAATGTAGCTCCCATCACTGCCTACGGTAATGGTTGCGAAAGAAGGGGGTCGCTTCTTATGTCGCAGTTCCGATGCTTCTTCCTAGTGCGAACGAAATCCGTTTTGTTGAGCTTTCTCTAATTTCTAGATGGTCTCCAGTTTTGAACTCTCGCCCCGCAACTAGAAAGCAGGGTTGTCGGCGGAAGGGGAGAAGAGAACGTTTGTCCTTTTCACGGAAAATTGGTTTTAAACATCCACGTCGATCACTTTCTGAAAGCTCGATTTGGTTCTCTGCTTCTCCGGGAAGTGGAATCCTTCCTCGCGCAACATCTTAAGAATCCCGCTCACTGTCTCAGATTTCGATTTTGGCAAACTGTAATGATCTGAATTTTTCGGTTGCAACGGTTGTGAGCTCGGGGGGTGGGGTGTTTCTTGAAGCATGGAGCCGTATCTGCAGGTTGTTTGGATGCAATTATGTTGTGCACAGTGGACAGACTACTCGATTGTTCCTTCAAACTTTAAGGGGTTTCACGGACTCCCACAACAGAGACTGGGAGCAGTGGGTTTACATTTTTCCTGCCTTGGAGGCCTGCTGACGGAGTCTGTCAGAGAGGCTCGAGGACAGTTTCAGAATCAACTGTCTCCCAGCAAAGGCGGGAAACAGGATTGCAGCTACGCACGTTGGAGGTGTTGGGCGACAGTTTTGGCGGCCTCATGCGCCCGCGAACTGATATTTATTGTCGATGAGCAGTCGGTAGCCCACCTCTAAACGAAGGTGTGCTCTGACATGGGCGGTCCGGGTACCTTCCGAGATGCTCACGGTTTGCGGCTTCTCCATTAGTACCAAGCAAGACTCTGATATTTATTGTCCATTAGTACCATTAGTACCTTCCGAGGTGTTTTTAGCATGGTCACCACTCGTCCTCCTAGAAGTATGCGGCGATGCATGTACTGAAGCCTGGGCAATTCCATCTCTGAAACCGGGAAGTTACGAGGAACCCTATCATCCCCTTCTGACGATCTGCCCTAAACTCAAACCGGTTTTAAATTTAGTATTCCCCTATGGCCTCCCACTCTCCCTCTGTCCGAGCTTCCCTCTTCTCTCCCCTGCAACTTCACGAGTTTCGGGTCCTGATGTGGCTGGTTTCCCAGGTTCTTCTGTTCTTCCTCTTTTTCCTTCGTCCCTCGTCTCCTCATTCCGCACCACACCTCATCCCATCCTTACACCTCTGTCCCAAATAATTTCCCTTCATTCTCTCACGGTGTATTCTGCTGTGTTTGTGTGAATGGTACACGTAGATGCTTGGCTTTATGGAATCGTGACTAGATACACTATGCGGCTATGTGAATTCTTAGTAGTGACGATTGGCTTGGTGTTTGCATGGATCGTACGCCTGGAAGTTTTTTCGTAGGCTCGAGGAAACAATATTTATAGGTGTATGGGTTACCATCCGGGTACGCGCCATTTGTCCCCTGATGAGATCGTTTCTGGCGGACGATCGAAACATGTCGGGACTTCGCCAACTTTTTGGCACGGATTACTGCTTTCAATTTACGAAGTGCCAATTTTTTAGCGCGTATCTGGCGTCCATGACTTTTTCTCTCTTTGTGTTCTACGTTTCTGGTCGATTCCTGCGGTTCTCTCTCTCTATCGTCTGTATCATATCCTTCTCCCCCTAAGCTTTTGTGTGCTTCTGTGTGTGCTTTCTCCTTTTCTCTCTCTTCCCCCTCCCTCTCATGTCACGCTCAGCCTTTGGCAAGTACGCGTTATATCGACAGCGTTTCCCTATCCAAAAGTTGCTTGGTTAATTTTTCTGCATAACATTTTTTTTGTTCGGACTTTTTTTTTTTTTTGGCTAGGACCTTTACTTGTCATTGGACAGTCGGGGCGCCCGGGAAAATAGGATGACCCGGGCCTCCCGAGTAGTAGCCTAGGTATTTTGATTTTTATTTCAAATTTGGTAAGGAATTGGGATGCAATGCTAAGGAAAATATTGTTTATCTTATTTGTCTTCATAACATTTTTTAAAAGTTTTTGTGTTGTTTTTTTTCGTTTTATTATTATTATTATTTTTTGTGTCGGCGTTCGGACCGAACGGCCGCACGCATGCCTAAGGGGTCCTGTATAGTCAGGTGTTCGGATTCGGACGTTCGTTCTATCCTGAATGCCGGGTACAGAATGCCCAAACATACGAGATCTCTTGGGGATGCGTTCGGTCGTTCAGGACGAACGTGGACCAAACAAAAAATAAAAAGATAAAAAAAAAACAAGTCAAAGAAAATATAAAGAACATATATGTTATGAGAAAAATAAAACAAAGAACATTGCGGTAGCATTACATTACATCCCAATTCCTTACCAAATTTGAAATAAAAATAAAATACAAAAATTGAAACTTATAATAAAAATAAGGTAAAATGACAAGAAAATTAAAATTAGTAAGTGAGCGAGCACGTTTTCGACACTACCATCTTTGGCGATTTTTCATTTTGTTTTGGCACAACAAAATGCCATGAAAATGAACTGATGTGACTTCATATAATACAAGACTCATTAAAAAAGTTTCAGAAAATAGTTATGTTTTTTAGGCCCCGGAATAAAGTAAAAAAAAAAGTAAAAAGTGAAAAAAAAAGTAAAAAGTTTAAAAAAACAAAATAGTGAGTGGGCGAGCAAGTTTTGAGACTTCCATCTTTGGTGATTTTTTATTTTTGTTTGGATTAGCAAAAGGACCTAAAAATTGTATGAATGTACCTTGCATCATAGAAGACTCACAAAAACAACTTCAGAAACAAAAACATATTTTTAGGCGCCGAAATAATTTTTTGCGGGGTCCGAACACCGTCGGGTTTGAATCCCGAATGTGACCCCGAACGCCGGTATGTACGAATTTCGGGCTGGGGACCTCCGTATGCACGGGCTGGTGACCCCATATATATGTATATATATATATATAGGGTAATTGGCGTTTGGGATGGACCACATGCTCGAACGTAGGGAACGCCTTGGGAATGCGTTCGGTTGCTCGGGCCGAACACAGATCAGAAAAAAAAAAACTCTAAAAAAAATAAATGTTATGAAGAAAAAAAAAAACGTTTGCCTCAGCATTTCATTTAAATTCGTTACCGGATTTGAAATAAAAATAAAATACATAAAATAGAACTTATAAGAAAAATAAAAAAAAATAAAAAAAATTTAAAATTTGTGAATGAGCGTGCACATTTTCGACGCCGCCATCTTTGGCGATTTTCCAATTTTGTTTCACACAATCAAATGCCGTGAAAATTTAAAGATGTGTACGTCACATAATAAGAAACTTGTTACACAAATTTCAAAAAATAACAAAATTATTAGGCCACGCAATAAAGTGAAAACGAAAAACAAAGAATTAAAAAAAATAAAATAGTGAGTGGGCGAGCACGTTTTGACACCGTCATTTTCGGTGATTTTTAATTTTTGTTTGGATTAACAAAATGAATTGAAACTTAATAGGAATGTACCTCACATCATCGTGAACTAAAAAAAAACAATAAAAAAAAAACAACGTTTTGTTGCGCCCTGAAATAAGTTTTGGTGGGGATTGAACGCCTTAAGGTTTTGACCCTAAACGCTCGTACGTACGGAGGTCGGCCCGGGGACCTCCCTACGTACGGACTGGTGACCCTGTATATATATATATACATATATATACAAATAAATATATATATGTTTATACATATATTTCCAGTGTGCAAGTGTGTCGCTGCTGTTGCAGAAGGGAGGGTATCAGTGGGTCAAGTCCCACAATTTGCAAGAGATAACTTTGTCGGTTTTTTGCGCTCTGTGGACTTTGCAGAAAAATCTAAAATTTGAAATCCGTCGATTGGTTCTGTTCTTCCCATAAAAAATATTACAAAAATAATAAAAATCATTAAGACCGCGAAATAATCACCGCGCCGATTCCACAAATTTTCCATTTTTGCTGCTCTGCCATGTGTGGAAGACTCCAACTATAGTGATTCTTCACTCTTAGAAGTAGGCACGACAAAATCTAAAAATTTTAAGTGTTCGTAAATTTTGTTATTATATTTTTCAAAAAAAATATTAAATAAATTAAAAACAATCGAGTCAACCACGAAATAAATCGCGGCCGCAATTTGACTGATATTCCATTTTTCGATTCTCTTTCTTTCTCTCTCTCTTTCTCTCATTCTCTCTCTCTCTCTCTCTCTCTCTCTCTCTCTCTCTCTCTCTCTCTCTCTCTCTCTTTTTCTTGCAATTTGCAAAAGATAACTTTTGCGATTTTTTGTGTTTGGTGGACTTTGCAAAAAATATCAAAATTTTAAAATCCATAGATTAGGTTATGGTCTTTCCATATAAAATATCACAAAATTTTCAAAAACTCATTAAGACCGCAAAATAAGCATTGTACTAATTCCACACATTTTTCATTTTTGCCACTCTGGGATGTGTGGACCAACAGAAAAATACTTCACTTCAACTATCGTGATTTATTCGCACTAAGAAGAAAATGTGAAAAAATTAAAAAATTTGAGTGCTCGTAGATTTTGTTGTAATACTTTTTCGGAAAATATTAAATAAATTAAAAACAATCATTTCAATCGTGAAATAGATTGTGCCGCAATTCGAGATAAATTTCAGTTTAGATATTCTCTATCGCTTTCTCTCTCTTTTTCTTTTGGCTCTCTCCCTCCCTCTCTCTTTCTCACTCTCTCACTCTCTCCCCCTCTTTCTCTCTCTTTTTTTTTTTTTTTCTCTCTTCCTTTCCCTCTCTCTCTCTCTCCTTCTCCTCCTTTCCCTCCCTCTCTCTCTCCCTCTCTCCCTCTCTCTCTTTCGTGCACTTAGTCTCATTGCTTTGGCTACCTTAGGGTTGCGTTCGCCGCTCCCATATGGTAGATAATTGACACTTCGTGCTCAACCACACAAACATCGGGAACCTTGCAGTTCATACTTTTTTTGTTTTATACAT